TACAGTAATGGTCATGATGGTTAACACATCTAAAGACATGGCCCAATTAACCTAATCCTAACCCAACCCATCCATGAAGGAACCCCACACCAACCCCACCAAGAAAGATGACCCCACTACCACCAAACAACCACCACCACAAGTGTAAGAAATAGGAGATAGTAGTGCTACCTCTAGTGAATCCGAGGTACCTGGGGGGTAGAAGAAATTTTGATGATGATAGAGGCATTAAGATAGACTTGCTTGAATTCAATGAAAGTCTTGATCCAAATGACTTCAATGATTGGTTGCATGAGATTGAGCAAGTATTTGAGTTCAAAAACTACAATGATGAGAAGAGATGTAAGGTGGTCATATTGAAGTTCAAGGAGTATGCTTCTTTGTGGTGGGAGAATACGAAAAAGAAGAGGGCAATGGAAGGGAAGTCTAAGATTAGATCGTGTGAGAAACTGAAAAGGGTGTGCGAGAAAAGGTTCTTGCCAATAAATTATAAGCAAGACTTTTATCTTAAGTCTATAACTTGAAACAAGGTGATAGAAAGGTTGAAGAGTATATTTGGGAGTTTGACAGATTGATGTTAAGGAGTGATATTCCTGAAGAGAAGGAGCACACCATTGCTAGATTTATTGGCAGTTTGAGTAAGGATATTGCTTACAAGGTTAACTTGCAAACTTATCATTCTTTTGAGGATGTTTGCAAGTTATCTACAAAGGTGGAGAAGCAATTGAAGAGTATATAGTCCTTGGGCCTCAAGAAGCTCTTTAAGGAGGACATCTACCAAAGGGGTTCACCTTCCTATACCAAACCGTATGTGACACCTACGGCTTATGATAAGAACAAAGCCAATGAAACACCAAAGGAGAAAATAGGTTTTGTGAAGAATGATGCTCCACGATCAGATTTGAAAAACAAGAAATGCTTCAAGTGCCAAGGTTATGGACACTTTCAAGCAACTTTTCCAAACCGAAGGGTTATGACACTTAGAGAGATTATTGAGATTGATGATGCATGTCAAAAGGAGTTTACTAAAGAAAAGAAAGAGAGTGAGAATGAGTTTATTGAGGAAGCCAATAATGGAGACATGCTTATGCTCAAGAGATTGTTTCATACTCAGGCAAACCCCCAAGAGAACCAAAGGGAGAACTTGTTTCACACAAGGTGCACTATCAAGGGAAAAGTTTGTTCAGTGATAACAGATAGTGGGAGTCACACTAATGTTGCTTCCACCACACTTGTGGAGAAAATGGGGCAACTAACTATTAATTGAGCTTATCCTTACAAGTTGCAATGGTTAAGCAATGGTGACACCATTCAAGTGTTAGAGCAAGTGCCCTAGAGCATGTAAATCATAGTTATATGTAATGATATATGTCCTTAGAATGGTAGAACCGTGACGAGGGTATCAAGTGTTTAAAATCTTGAAAATGAGAACTCTATGATCACATATGATGGACATTCTAGAAACATTCGTAGCCCTAGTATTATTCTAACCAGGGACACAGATAATACGGTAAGGCTATGATAGTGTTGAACGACCCTGTCGAAAGGTAGTGACTTATCTCACTTGTTAAAGTTGCTTGCGGACAACCTAGTGCAACGCATTATAATGGAGATTAAGGTGCTGACCAAGTTGATGTTCCCAAATATTCTCAAGATCCTTTGCAAGGAATTGACGGTCCAATGATTAGGGCAAAGACAAAGAGGATGAAAGAGGCTTTGCAAGGCTTGATCATGGAAGTGCAATACAAAGAGGCTGTACTAGAAGACTCTAAGACTAAATTTGAAGATTTCAAAGCTTCACCAAGGATGGTCTATTATCTTTTTATGTAAGGGGTAGATTCGGAAGATCAAGTTGGATGCAAGGATTAATTTAGGAATTAATTTTCGTTTATTTAATCTTGGGCTTTTTTTATGTTTTAATTATCATTAGATTCTTTAGTCTTTTATTTATTTAAGGTTTATTTAGGCCCAATTCGCTTGTACTTAGGCCCAACCCAGTTTTCAATTAGCTAGGGTTTTCTTTTAGGGTTTGTTGCTTGTAAAAAGGGGCAACCATGTTATTTTTTTGGGGGACAGATTATTATCAATTGAAGTTTATTTCAGAAAGTGTAATAACTCCTTTATACTAGGATACTCATAGAAATACATAAAGTAAAATACATTTATATCAACAAAAGTAGATGGAACCAAAATTTTCTTTTATTACATATAAACATTCCTATTACCAAATAAGGTATCATTTTACAAAAAGTTATCAAAAACAGTGGACAGTGTAGCTATTGCTCCTTGCTTACCAACGCCAATTCGACCGCTTCCTCACCTAGATCCTATAAACACAAAGAAAAACAACGGGGTGAACACAAAAGTAATGCTCAGTAAGTAAATCCTCTACTTGTCTGTCCCCGTAATTCTTTCTCTTAATTCTTTCCTTACACACTTCTCATCTCATTTGTTTTCCTTTTCTGTTTCTCTTTCACACAGCTCTCTTTTATTAATTTTCTATTGTAAGTCACGGCCTCCTCTTGCTGGAGGCACGTCCTGGTGGAGTTCACAAAGCACCAACCCACTATTCGTGACTTTACTCATTCTTTCTTTATTTTTTCTCATGTTTTTCCAATTCTTTCTCACTTGAATGTCACAGCCTCATCTTATCGGAGGCACGACCGGGTGGAGTTCACAAAGCACCAACCCACTCTTCGTGACTGCGGGGTGGAGTTCACAAAGCACCAACCCACTCTTCGTGTTTTTTTTCTCATTCTCTCTACTCTTAAAGCAGTTCATTCACAAAGTTCTCTACTCTTTCTCAAGCTACTTCTCAATGTACAATTAATGTATAAGGATGGTTCATGCTTTCTTACTTAATGCACTTATGAAATGCACAAATGCAATATTGCATCAAGACAGTCATTCTGCACAGGTCACACTCAAGAAGGCATAACTTGAGTTATAAACATTGGATTGCTACGGTTTTGGCCTCGTTTTAAAGCTTAGAGATAGGGCTACAACTTTTATGTTTTGGTCTCAACCCAGTTCAATCTTTAAGATGCCGAAGAATCACTCAGAAGGTCACGGCTATGACAGGGCAACCATGGTAACATATTCTCACTTAGGCATTTCATCAAACAACAATTGTGTCTAAACAAACCTTAATTTAATTATCATTCAATTTTTTTCCTAAACCATCCAAAATGAGAGAAAAACTCTCTTGTATCATCACCATCACCCCACGGCACAAACACTCCCACAATACTTCTCAAATTCTTTTAATTTCATCTCAAACTACATTCTCATCACTCAACAACACTTCTCATAATTGAAGTGTATTCAACAACCACAAAGACAATATTCATCCCACCTCATCTCAATAACATAACATACTTATACATACATAAATCTCTACTCAATTTCTACTCAAAGGATTTCTCAAATCTCAACTTGGGTTGGATTTACTTACCTTGTAATGGAGAGATTTCATTAATACTTTTCTTTTCTTTTTATAGCTTGTCTCTTTTCTACAACTTTAAACAATAAAACCATAAGACTTCAATATACATATATAAGCAAAACTTCACATCTAAAGCAAGAATCCTTACCTTAAGATGCCTTAGATTAACTTTCTACCCCAAACTACTCAAAAAGCCCTCTAAAATTCTTGAAATATTAAAAGAAGAGTTGAGAGGAAGTGGTGAATGGGAATGGTGGTGGTGGTGGAGAAGAAAAAATGAAGGGTTTTCTAAACCTCAACCCTTATTAACTTACAATTAACACATGCCTTCCCATTTTGCCCTTACCCTTTCTTAGAAATTACATCTATGTCCTTTAGTCAATTACAATAATGCCCTCATTTTTATTGCATTCTCCATGAAATTCTATTTCTTTTCACTCCCCACTTTTTCAACTAATTTTGAGTGAAAAGACCATTTTACCCCTAATGAAAGTTTAAGGGATTTTCTTCACATTTTTCTCAAAATAACTTTAACAGAATTCAACTAAGGGTATAAGAACATAAATTAAATTACATACCTCCATGTGGGCGTTATAGAAAACTATTGTTTTGCCTTCTTGTGTTCTTGATTGAATGCTTGAATCTCGACTTATCAAAGGGAGTGATCAACCTTTGTGGCGTCTCAAGATTAGGGTTTTAAGGACTTAGTTTCCTTAGGGTTCTAATTTGATCATCCTGAACACATTCCTAGCAAAACAACTTGTTCCTATTCTATCATTTGGTATCAGAGCTTTTGTTGCTGGAAACAGGTTATTTATCTCCAACACTCTTTGTTTACGTTCTTGATTCAAAAAAATAAATAAATAAATTGAATTCGTCTTTTCATAGTTCTTTTACATTAAAAAAGAGGCAGCAAAAAAAAAAAAAAAAAAAAGGTGGCAATTTCGAGTTGTTAAGTTTCCCATTCTTGTTCTCTTTGCTAAGTATCCTATTTTTGTTGAATTAAGTTTCCAATTCTTGTTTTTCTTGCTTGAGTTTCTTATTCTTGTTGAATTAGTTTCCTTTATTCTGCTCTAGTTTCCTTTTTATTTTGTTCTAGTTTCCCTTTATTTTTGTTCTAGTGATTGTTTCAAGCATATACAAGGTTGTTTTGTGTCTTTTGCCTTCTTAATCATTTAGCGTCAATTCCAGTGATTTCTTTCACATGTCTTTTGCTTCCTTTTAGAGTTTTCTTATTTTCTTGGTTCTTTAGAGTCATCTTGGGTCTTTCTTTTTGTTCACTGTTTGCCTCAACTAAGTTTTTAAAGTTCTGATTTTTGAGATTGTCACCATGTAACCGGTTGCTTCTTGAGATTTGTTAAATTCTTTGATTCTGTTAAGAACATAAAGGGGGCTGGCTTGGCTTTGAGTGGTGAAAGGCAAGAGAGATCATCATCAAGAAAAAGCTAACATAGTGTGAAACACGAGTGATAACAATCTAATTTGAGTGCAAACACGTGAGGGAGTGTGTGAGGAACAACACCTTTTATTTTATTTAATTTTACAGGTTGAAACCATGAGTAAGGAAGGAGGAGAACCACAAGAGGTCGACATGAAATTCTTCATCAAGGCTGTTAATGACCAATTTAAATTACTGAATGCGAGGTTGAATGATTTGGAGTCTTCTTCCGGTTCTAAATCACATAGAAGACATGAGTTCGACGAAGAAGACGAAGCTGATTCCAAAGTGGAAAGAACAAGTTATAAACGGGCCAAGAAGGTTGACTCCAAAGGAGATAACAATATAGGCAGTATAAAGATGGCAATTCTGACTTTTCAAGGAAAGAATGATCCTGAGCTATACTTGGAGTGGGAAAGAAAGGTCGAGCACGTATTTGATTGTCATAATTATTCCGAAGAGAAGAAAGTAAAGCTAGCAACCATGGAGTTTACAGATTATGCAGGTATATGGTGGGATCAATTGGTGATCAATAGGCACAGGAATGGTGAGAGGCCTATTCGGTCATGGGAATAGATGAAGTTGGTGATGCGCAAGAGATTTATACCTAGCCATTACTATAGAGATTTGTATAGGAAGTTGCAAGGGCTAGTTCAAGGTTCCATGAGTGTAGAGGATTATTATAAGGAGATGGAAATCGCCATGATTAGAGCAAACATAGAGGAAGATAGAAAAGCAACAATGGCTACATTCATTGCCGGATTGAACAAGGAGATTACTAACGTGGTTNGGGGAAGTATCTCCCCCCCCCCCCCCTGCCACCCCCCTTAAGGAGATTTCTTCCGCCTCCCTCACCGCTCGAACCCAAGACCAAGGGGCTAAAGTCAATTGGGAAGCATGGTGACTACCATCTGGCTAGATGGTAGTCACCATGCTTCCCAATTGACTTTAGCCCCTTGGTCTTGGGTTCGAGCAATGAGCGAGGTGAAAGAAATCTCCTTAAGGGGGGAGGGGGGGGGGGAGATATCCTGCCATGCTGTGTGATCGTGGCTGACCACCTATTTGGGGTCGTTACATGATGCGCAAGAGATTTATACCCAGCCATTGCTATAGAGATTTGTGTAGGAAGTTGTAAGGGCTGGTTCAAGGATCCATGAGTGTAGAGGATTATTATAAGGAGATGGAAATCGCCATGATTAGAGCAAACATAGAGGAAGACAGAGAAGCAACAGTGGCTAGATTCATTGCCGGATTGAACAAGGAGATTGCTGACGTGGTTGAGTTGCAACGTTACGTAGAGATGGAGGAGCTACTGCACAAAGCCATTAAAGTGGAGAAGCAAATCAAGTCCAAGAGGTTCAGATCTGGTTTGTCCTCTAGCTTTTCGTGGAGATCAAATTGGAAGGACAACAAAGCTATCTTTAAAACAAAAGAAGAAGCAAAGTCGAAGAATTCGGTTGCTGTTCCTAAAGGTAAACCCGAAACTAAAACTCTTACTAAGTCATGTGGTATTAAGTGTTTTAGGCATCAAGGATTCGGACATATTGCTTCCGAATGCCCAAACAAAAAGGTTATGGTTGTATGGGCAAATGTAGAAGTCGAAAGTGGTAGCTCAAGTGACGATGAGATGCCACAATTAGAGGATTGTTCTGATGTTGAAGTGGAAGAACCTGTGCATGGTGATTTACTTGTTACAAGGAGAGCCATGAGTATACAGCCTAAGGATGAAGGAGATGAGGAGCAACATGAGCATATTTTTCACACAAGATGCCACGTGAAGGATAAGGTATGTACGTTGATTATTGATAGTGGGAGTTGCACTAATGTTGCTAGTACTTTGTTGGTAGAAAAGTTGAATTTGAAGTGGAAGAAGCATCCTAAACCGTACAAGCTACAATGGTTGAATGACTGTGGAGAAGTGAAGGTAAACAAGCAAGTTTGTGTTCCTTTTTCCAATGGCAAGTATAAGGATGAGGTTCTTTGTGATGTGGCACCGATGTATGCTTGTCATACATTGCTTGGCTGACCGTGGCAGTTTGATAGGAGGGTGTCGCATGATGGGTACAAAAATCGTTATTCTTTTGTAATGAACAACCGAAAAGTTGTATTAGCCCCTCTCAAACCTTTGCAAGCTTATGAGGACCAGATTAGGATAGCAAGAGAGTGCAAAATGAGAGAGGAACAATAGTGTGAGCAAGAGGAAAAATGGAGAGAAAAGTGAGCAACATGGAGAGAAAAATAAAAGAATAAGTGTACTTGCTGAAAAACATGAGGTTAAAAGTGTAATGATGGCGAGGCAACAAGTACTTGTACTTATGTACAAGGATGTTTATCTTTCTAATAATGACCTTAACTCAACTTTGCCTAGTGTTGTCTTGTCTTTATTGCAAGAATTTGAGGACCTACTTCCTAAGGAGATTCCCCATGAATCACCTCCTCTAAGAGGAATTGAGCTTCAAATAGACTTCGTACCTGGTTTCACCATACCAAATCGACCTACTTATAGAGCTAATCCCGAGGAAACGAAGGGGATACAAAGGCAAGTGGATGACCTATTGCAAAAGGGATTTGTAAGGGAGAGTCTTAGCCCATGTTCGGTTCCTGTCCTCTTAGTCCCAAAGAAAGATGGAACATGGCGCATGTGTGTGGATTGTCGAGCTATTAACAAGAGAATGGTAAAGTATAGACATCCTATACCCAGATTAGATGATATTCTTGATGAATAGCATGGCTCTCAATTGTTTTCTAAAATTGATTTAAAGAATGGCTATTATCAGATTCGCATGAAAGAGGGAGATGAATGGAAAACTGTATTTAAAACTAAGTATGGATTGTATGAGTGGTTAGTAATGCCTTTCGGTTTAACTAATGCACCTAGTACATTCATGAGGTTAATGAACCATCTCTTGCGTGCTTTCATGGGAAAATTTGTGGTAGTTTACTTTGATGATATTTTTGTTTATAGCAAAATTTTTGATTAACATGTGAAACACTTGCATGCTGTGTTTAGTGTGTTGAGGGAGCACCAATTGTATGCTAATCTTAAGAAGTGCATGTTTTGCTTGGAATCTGTTGTGTTTCTTGGATTTGTTGTTAGTTCGTAGGGTATTAGTGTTGATGAAGAAAAGGTAAGGGCAATAAGGGACTGGCCTACACCTAAGAATGCGAATGAGGTGAGAAGTTTCCATGCTTTAGCAAGTTTTTATCGAAGGTTTGTTAAAGATTTTAGTTCTATTGCTGCACCTTTGAATGAACTTGTTACAAAGAATGTTGTTTTTAAGTGGGATGATGATGTGCATGACCAAGCTTTCAAAACTTTGAAAGATAAGCTAACTAATACACCTTTTTTGTGTTTGCCTGACTTTGCTAAAGCTTTTGAGATAGAATGTGATGCATTCGGGATTGGAATAGGAGCTGTTTTGATGCAGGATTCCAAACCAATTGCTTATTTTAGTGAAAAGCTAAGTGGGGCAACGTTGAATTATCCTACTTATGACAAGAAGCTTTATGCATTAGTGAGAACTCTTCAAACATGGTAGCATTACTTGTGGCCGAGGGAATTCATCATTCATTCTGATCATGAGAACTTGAAGTTCTTGAAGACCCAAGGTAAGCTTAATAAAAGACATGCTAATTGGTTGGAGTTCATAGAAATGTTTCCTTATGTAATCAAATACAAACATGGGAAGGAAAACGTTGTGGCTGATGGATTGTCTAGGAGGTATGTATTACTTATTTCATTGCAAACTAAATTACTTGGTTTTGAATTGCTTACGGATTTGTATGCCAATGATTCTGATTTCAGCCAAGTATGGAATGCATGTGATAAGTGTACGTTTTGTGATTTTTATAGGCATGAAGGATTTCTATTCAAGAAAAAATAAATTATGAGTGCCTATTGTTCTATTCATGAGTTGCTTGTTAGGGAAAGTCATGGGGGAGGTTTGATGGGTCACTTTGGTGTTCTATAGACTTTAGATATATTACGTGAGCATTTTTATTGGCCTAATATGAAGCATGATGTGCAATTTATTTGTGATAAGTGCATTACATGTAGGCAAGCAAAATCTAAAGTTAGACCGCATGGCTTGTATACCCTTTTACCTGTACCTAATCAACCTTGGATTGATATATCTATGGATTTTGTTTTAGGATTACCAAGGACTCAAAGTGGTAAGGATAGCATATTTGTTGTTGTTGATAGGTTTAGTAAAATGGCTCATTTTATTGCATGTTCTAAAACAAATGACGCAACACATATTGCTGATTTGTTCTTTAAAGAACTGGTTCGTTTGCATGGGTTGCGTAAGATAATTGTTAGTGATAGAGATGTTAAGTTGCTAAGTCATTTTTGGCGCACTTTATGAAATAAATTAGGAACCAAACTGTTATTTTCTACTGTTGCATATCCTCAAACGGATGGTCAAACTGAAGTAGTTAATAGGACACTCACTACTTTGTTGCGTGCTATCATTCAAAAGAACTTAAGGCAGTGGGAGAAGTGTTTGCCACATATTGAGTTTGCATATAATAGGACTGTTCATTCTACTTCTTCATTTTCTCCTTTTGAAATTGTTTATGGCTTTAATCCTTTAACACCTTTGGATATTTTACCTTTGCCTACGAATGAGCATGCTAATCTTGATGGTAAGAAAAATGTAGATTTTGTGAAGGATTTACATGCTGGAGTTCGGGCCAACATTGAAAGGAAGAATGAGCAATATGTTAAGCAAACCAATAAGGGGCGTTTGAAGGTTGTCTTCCAACCTAGAGATTGGGTTTGGGTGAACATGCATAAGGAAAGGTTTCCCACACAAAGGAAATCAAAATTGCAGCCTCGAGCAGATGGCCCTTTTCAAGTCTTGGAGTGGATCAATGATAATGCCTACAAGCTAGATTTGCCAAGTGATTATGGTAATGTTAGTGCATCTTTTAATGTTGCTGATTTATCTTTGTTTGATGTAGGAGATTCGAGGATGAATCCTTTTGAAGAGGAGGGGAATAATGGAGATCGAGGTGCTGACCAAGTTGATGTTCCCAAATATTCTCAAGATCCTTTGCAAGGAATGGGTGGTCCAATGACCAGGGCAAAGACAAAAAAGGATGAAAGAGGCTTTGCAAGGCTTGATCATGGAAGTGCAATACAAAGAGGTTGTAATAGAAGACTCTAAGACTAAATTCAAAGATTTCAAAGCTTCACTAAGGATGGTCTATTATCTTTTTATGTAAGGGGTAGATTCGGAAGATCAAGTTGGATGCAAGGATTAATTTTCGTTTATTTAATCTTGGGCCTTTTTTTTTTTTTTATGTTTTAATTATCATTAGATTCTTTAGTCTTTTATTTATTTAAGGTTTATTTAGGCCCTATTCGCTTGTACTTAGGCCCAACCCATTTTTCAATTGGCTAGCGTTTTCTTTTAGGGTTTGTTGCTTATAAAAAAGGGGCAACCATGTTATTTTTTGGGGGACAGATTATTATCAATTGAAGTTTATTTCAGAAAGCTATTTGCTTTGCCTTCTTATGTTCTTGATTGAATGTTTGAATCTCGACTTATCAAAAGGAGTGATCAACCTTTGTGGCGTCTCAAGATTAGGGTTTTAAGGACTTGGTTTCCTTAGGGTTCTAATTCGATCATCCTCAACACGTTCCTAGCAAAACCACTTGTTCCTATTCTATCACTTTGTTGATCCGATAGATGTCTATTGCTATAGCAATGGAGCAATGGCTCAAGCAAAGGAACCATGGTCTCACCAGAAGTCCAGACACATACTAAGACGTTTTCATCTCATTAGAGAAATGGTTGAAAGGAAAGATGTACAAATAAGTAAAGTGCATACTGATGACAATCTCGTCGATCCACTGATGAAACTTCTGTCACAGTAGAAGCATGAAAAACACTTAAGGTCATTCGGTATTAAATACATGAATGATTGGCTATAGTGCAAGTGGGAGATTGTTAAAATAGGTGCCCTAGAGCCAATCTATTATTGTAAAATTGACTCTGTAATAAATCTTTACTTATCAATAAAAGGCATATTCTTCTATATCATGTAAATCATAGTTATACATAATAATATGTCCTTAGGATGGTAGAACCATGACAAGGGTATCAAGTGTGTAACGCCCTACTTGAGGTATGCAGCTAATTTACGTTGCAGTGCTTGAATCTTTATTGTTTTGCTCTTAACTGAGTTGGTATATTGTTCATATTGTTTGGTTGGTCCTTGGTTGAGTGGATATTGTGAGTTGGTTGAGTGATTGCCCTGAAATTTGTAAAGACTTGGCGAATTTCTGTTTTTCAGACTTCGTCGGGGCGAAGAAGAAGCTTTGCCGCGGCGATGAAGCCTTGCAACCTACGGTGCAGGTTCTGGAATTTTTCGCCGGGGCGAAGAAAGATTCTTCGCCGCGACAAAGGGCATAACAAAATGTTTATTAAGTTTCTAGAGAATTCTTCCTTTGGAGCATAATGACCGTTCTACCCCTAATTAGCAGTAAAAGTGAGGAGTGAAATGCAAGGAAATTGCATGAAGAATAGTTTAAATAGGGGTGCATTTGCAACGAATTCAAAGGGCAAAAGTGGAATTCCTAAGAAAGAGTAAGGGTAAAATGGGAATGAATGAATATATTTTGAGCTAAAAAGGGGTTAAGTTTAGTAAACCCTTCATTCACTCTTCTTCCACCGCCTCTTCCATTCTCCATTTCCTCTCAATTCTTCCTTCAATCTTTCAAGGATTTTTGAGAGTTTTTTTAGTTGGATGTTGGTAGAGAATTAATCTAAGGCATCCTAAGGTAAGGATTCTTACTTTAGATGTGAAGTTTTGCATGTATTTGTACATTGAAGTCTTATGGTTTTAATGTTTAAAGTTGTAGAGAAGGGACAAGTTACTAAGGAAAAGAGAAGTGTTAGTGGAATCACACCATCACAAGGTAAGTAAATCCCAATCCAAGTTGAGATTTGAGAAATCCATTGTGTAGAGATTTATTTATGCATGATATATGTTATGTTAGTGAGAACTTGGGTTGAGATAAGTAGTTATTTTGTGGTTGTTAAATACACTTCAATTGAGAAGTGTGATGTATGATGAGAATGTAGTTTATGATGAAATTGGAGGAGATTGAGGAATCTTTTTGGAAGTGTTATGTTATGGTAGGGATTATAGCTTGGTGAGGGAGTTTTCAATACGGTAGCGATTGGCTACATTGAGAAGTGTATCAAGACTATGGTGGATCGACAAAGGATTCATCACTCCTAGGTACGAGAGAAGTTATCTCACTAGGTAATTCGGTAAATGACAATGACACTAAATCTATGGCCACAGTGGGATTGAGTTGTTGCTCAATCCAATTTATTATTCCGGTCATTAGTCCATTAACTGAATACAAACATGTCGAGGATATTTGAGGTTGGCACTATTTATGTACCTCAATCTCGATGAGATAACAGATGATGAAAGGATTTGATTGCAAGGTAACCATACCTTTCACAGGCTGCGGTTTCGCTAAATCTGAATCTATCGGGTGGCCATGATGCCTTGCTAGGGGCCAATCTTGGTATGTGTGTAGTGAGACGATTAATTGGTGTTAATCGTGATACTACACACTGTTGATATGATGAGGAGCCTACGGGTCACACACTTAGAAGATAATTTAAGAATCAATTTGTGAGAAGGGTATTTTCATCGTTTAGGACGAAGGGTATTTTGGTAATCTCACAATGCAATTAAATTTGCTGAGGTTATTGCCTGTATATAATTTTAATATTAAAATTATATTAGTGAGATTATATTTAAATATATAGATGCATATATTTAAATGAATTATTATTAATAATAAAATGTTAATATATTATTATATATTAATTGATTTTAATTATAACAATAATTAATTAATTAAAATACCATAAAGGGTGTGTTTGGTTGGAATAGGGTTTTAATTGTTGCACTATATAAGTGCAACCTAAATTAAAACAAAATATTCATTGATTCATTTAATAATTAAAACCCTAGCCACCCTTTTACTCTCTCTCTCACGCCCCACTCATTGATTGAAGAGAAAATATTCTTTCTCTTCTTGACTCATTGAAAAACATTGATTTTTGAAGCCCTTGATTGTTCTAGCAAAATAATCAAGGGTTTTGCGAATTGTCTTCATGTGTATTTCCGTGAGTGCGATCCTACTTTGGAAGATTGTTCCAAGTATATAGATGGGCATTACGAATTTTAAAGGACATATTTGGTTTTCAGAAAATTATTATCATTTTGAGGTCTTGTGTTCCTCTCCGTTCTTGAAAGAACTCTTGAACTTATCAAGTTAATCTTGTGGCATTCAAACAACCAAACTTATCACCTTGATTCTTGAGAGATTCTTAGGTTTCTTGGTGTGGCGTTTCAATCCTTTGTAGTCTTGGTTTTCATCTAGTTAGGTGACAGGTCAAGGCTTAACAAATCTTGTCTACATGATCTTGGGGTTCCAACCATCATTGTTGGCGGAGTTCATATCATTTGGCATCAGAGCTTTGGTTCTAAGGCAAGTTTGACTATCTTTTATTTTCCTTTTTTTTTTATTTCTTGTTCACTGTTGTAAAAAAAAGTAAAAAATAAAAATAAAAAAGAGTACATGATTCCATTCTGAAAATTTCTTCCTTTCAATCTTGTTTCTCACCTTATTCAAGTTCTTGACCTTTTGCTGAGTTTTGGTTGTTTCTCATTTTTTTTTTTAATTGCTACTGAATTATTTTGAATTAGTTTCTTGAAGTTCGATTTAGAACTAATGAAGACACAAAAGAGTGGAAAAAGGCAAGAGTGTGCGAGACCATAAGAGGGTAAAAGCCGTTTAGAATGAAAACATGAGTGCAACTATATCAATTCTTGAGTGAAATACTTGAGGGAGTGCTTGTGAGGATTCTAACCTTGTTTTGCAGATTTTAAGCATGTCCAATAATCAAGAAGAAGACACAACCAAAGAATATCGACAACCCGCAGATCTGAACCTCCAAATGCAAGCGTTGTTAAGGGAGATAAGGCGTATGTTAAGGGCTGAATTAGAACCTATTCACGAGAGGTTGGATAGCGTAGAAGCGGGAACTCCTAGGGGACAACAACAAGACATCCCCAATAGGCAGCAAGGTGGGTGTGTTCCGTGGCGGAATGTTGAGGACGAGGCAGAGTCGGAAGAGTTTGAAGAGCCATATTTGAACTGGGGCAGGTTTGAGCGTGGGTATGGGAATTGAAAAGCTAGGATGGGTAGGCCTAGGAGGGATAACGATTTAGGAAACATAAAGATTAAAATCCCATCTTTTCAAGGTAAAAATGATCCTGAAGCTTATTTGGAGTGGGAAACTAAAATGGAGATGGTGTTTGAATGTCACAACTACTCGGAGATAAAGAAGGTTAAGTTGGCCGCAATTGAAGTCGCCGATTATGCCATTGTTTGGTGCGATCAATTACTGATTAATAGGAGGAGGAATAGAGACCCACCCGTGGACACTTGGCAAGAGATGAAAATGCTTATATGGAAACGTTTTGTACCCAGCCACTATTATAGAGGATTGTATCAAAAGTTGCAGAGGTTAATTCAAGGCTCCAAGAGTATGGATGAGTATTACAAGGAGATAGAGGTAGCTATGATCCGGGCTAATGTAGAAGAGGACCGGGAAGCCACCATGGCTAGGTTTTTGTACGGTTTAAATCGTGAGATTGCGGATATAGTCGAGTTGCAGTACTATGTTGAGTTGACAGATATGGTGCATCAAGCCATAAAGGTGGAGGAACAATTCAAACGGAAGGGATTGGCTAGGAGGGGACAACCTATAGCTACCACTAACCCATGGAAGACGGCTCCAAAAAGGGATGAGCAACTACAAAATAAGCCAAAATTTGAACCCTCTAAGAATGCCAAACCAATGACCGCCACTACTCTAGGTAACACCTAGGCTTCTACTTCTAAAACACGTGATATTAAGTGTTTTAAATGTTAGAGGCAGGGACACATAACTAGCCAGTGTGTAAACAAAAGGGTGATGGTGATAAACGCCCAAGGAGAGCTTGAGTCGGAGAATGAGGAAGAAGTAGATGATGATGACATGCCACCTTTGGAGGATGCCGATGATGAGCAACATGCTGTGGTTGGGGATTTATGTAACGCCCCGCTTGAGGTACGTTGTTATTGTTTCCTCTTTCGCCCTCATTTGAGTTGTTTTTGGTAATATTGTTTGATTTTCATTAGTATGAGTTTTGTGTGGATTAATTGCCTTGAAATGGGTTAAAAATGGAAGAAGTGTAGTATGCCGAGCTTCGCCGGGGCGAAGAAGAATCTTCGCCGCGGCGAAGATGTGTTGAAACCACCGGAAACTCTCTGGACGGTTTCGCCGCGGCGACATAAGTTTCTTCGCCGCGGCGACGGGCCGATTTTCATGTTGGTTGAGTTTTAGATATTTTCTTCCCTAAGGGCAATTTGACCTTTCTACCCCTAATTAGCAGGAAAAGTGGGGAGTTAATTGTAAGGATTTTTCATGGAGATATGTTGTTTTGGGGGTGAGTTGTAATGAATCAAAGGATATAGATGGAATTTCCAAAGAAGAGAAGGGTAAAATGGGAATGCTTTGTTATATATTTCATTAAACGGAATTAGGATCAGAAAAACCCCTCATTTTCTTCTTCTCAAACGCACTTCCCATCTCCACTCCTCTCAACTTTTCTTCTCTTTTGATCAAGGAATTCCAAGGGGTTTTTGATTGATTTGAGGTGAAAAGCAACCTAAGCTTCCTAGTAAGAATCTCTACTTAAGTTGTGTGATTTGGGAGTTTTAACCCATATTGAAGTTTGAGGGTTTTCATTCTTTTGGTTAAGATTAGAGGGAAATCAAGCTAAACAAGTGAAGAAAGAATTTGTGAAGTCTCTCCATAACAGTAAGTAAAACCCAACCCAAGTTGAGATTCATGAAATTTCTTGATTAGGGTTTTGATAGAAATGAGTATGTATTTGATGTCATGTAATATCCATGTATGGAGTATTAAATGGAGATTTCTATGCTTTGTGAATGTTAATACCTGCAAATATGAGAAATGGGTTGTTGGTTTGACAAGGTAGTTGGATGATTTGAAGGGGTGTTATGAAACCCTTTTTTGGAAGTGTCTTGTTGAGTTTTGTGTTTCATGGTTGGGAAGGGTTTTTCCCCATTTTGGATGGTTAAGAAAAGTTTTAGAATCATGGCTATAATAGAGTTTTATATGTGCACATGAGTTGTTTGATGAATGCCTAATAGAGGTTTGAGTGTGAGTAATGAACCTTAATTCTTGCAACATGCATGTTGGCATCTCATAATGCATGGTGAAGTTGAACCATCCATAGGCACAGTTGTACATGGAAAAGTGCCCTAAGAAAGTGTAAGAGAATTGTGTATGTATTACCCTATGGTAAGAGCTTGGTGGGTACAACTACTCTAGGGTAGAGAGCATTGAGAAATACTACAATAGAATGAATTGAGAGTGATATAGTTGGGATGATGCTTTGTGATCATCACCCGCCCGTTATAGGAACGGATTGATGCTTTGTGATCATCATCCGAATAGCCTTAGAGATGGGTCGATGCTTGTGATCGTCACCCAATGAGTAATGAAATGGGGTAATGCTTTGTTCACTATCCGATTAGTTATTAGAAAAGTGGGTTGATGCTTTGTGATCATCATCCACAGTTAGTAGAAACGGGTTGATGCTTTGTGATCATCCCCCGATAGTGACTAGAGACGGGTAAATGCTTGTGAACGTTACCCAAAATTCATGAGGAACAGTAGGTGCTAGGTGATCTCCACCCTAGTTAAGAAGAATCGAGTTGGTGCTTTGTGATCCTCACTCGGTAGTCACTAAGAACGGTTGGCACTTTGTGAATTCCACCCGATAGCCATAGAAGCGAAATGGTGCTGTGTGAACGCCATCCGGCCGTACCTCCTGAAGATGAGGACATGGTATTTAGTAGAAACAGAAACAGAATTAGAAAAGGAAAGAATTAAGAGTTACTCTTACGGGGACAGACAGACAGATAGAGAGTTTACTTACTGAGCATTATTTTGTGCTCACCCCTTTATTTCCTTTGTGGATGCAGGTTCTAGGTGATGACGCAGTCGGAGGGCCGTCGGCAAGCGAAAGAATAGCTACACTGTTTCCCCTGTTTTGTCTTTTAAACTGCACTTTTTAAACAGTAATCTTGTGTATAAAAGACATATGATTTCAATGAAAGAAATTTTTGGGCCCCAATTTTATATGTATTTATGCATGCATTGTACTAGTTTTCAGTAGTTGTTACAATTTATTGGTGGCAAGGCGAGTTCTCAATGTGCAGTCAAGGAGGAAGAAAGTAACCAAGGGAGAACTGTTTCATACTCGATGCTTTGTAAATAACAAAGTTTGCAGTGTCATTATTGATAGAAGGAGTTGCACAAACATAGCCAGCCTATTTGGTGGAGAAATTGGCCTTAACCACCTTGAAACATCCTTGCCCTTACCGACCTTAGTGGCTGAATGATTGTGGCGAAATCAAGGTGACAAAGCAAGTGTTGGTGGCATTATCCTTGGCAAATATAAGGATGGGGTGCTTTGTGATGGTGGTTCCTATGTATGCATGCCATTTATTGTTAGGAAAGACCATGGCAGTATGATCTAGGGTTAGCATGATGATTCACAAATAGGTATTTTTCACTCTAAAGGGCAACCTATTACTTTTGTGCCATTAACTCTAAAACAGGTCATGGAGGACCAACTAAAGTACAAAGATCAAATGAAAAAAGAAAGGAAGGCCCAATTTAGGAAAAAAATAGTTTAAAAAAAAAAAAAAAAAAAAAGAGAAAAACATTGATCAGAGTGAAAAAAAAGAAAAGAAAAAAAAAAAAGAGGATTTCGGCCATAGTGAGAGCAAGAGAGGAAAAATTCAATTACAGTGCAAAAAAAAGTGATATCAAGAGAGCATTATTTTCACACCAGCCCCTTATTATACTCATGTACAAGGAGGCTCTTTTATGTACTAATGATCTCGTCGGTGCTTTGTCGAGCGATATTGTTTCTCTTTTGCAAGAGTTTGAAGATGTCCTTCCCGAAAAGGTACTTTATGGCATACCTCCAATCTGAGGGATTGAACATCAAATTGATTTCATGTCTGGTGCATCAATTCCAAACTGACCTGCTTATAGGAGCAATCCCGTGGAGACCAAGGAACTTCAGAGGCAAATAGGTGAATTATTGGAGAAGGGGTATGTGCGTGAAAGCATGAGTCTTTGTGCGATTCCGGTGCTATTAGTTCCTAAGAAGGATGGATCATGGAGGATATATGTTGACTACCGAGCCATCAACAACATAACGGTAAAGTATCGTCATCCCATTCCTAGATTAGATGATATGTTGGATGAATTGCATGGTTCTAGTGTCTTTACAAAAATTGATCTTAAGAGTGGATATCATCAGATTAGGATGAAGGAAGGTGATGAATGGAAAACTGCTTTTAAGACTAAATATGGTTTATATGAGTGGTTAGTGATGCCTTTCGGTTTAACTAATGCTCCGAGCACATTTATGCGTTTGATGAACCATGTTTTACGTGCATTTAATGGCAGATTGTAGTTGTGTATTTTGATGATATCCTAATTTATAGCAAAAACTTGGAAGAACATGTAATGCGTTTGAAATCTATTTTGGAAATTCTAAGGAAAGAAAAGTTGTTTGCTAACCTTAAGAAGTGCACCTTTTACATAGATAAGCTTATGTTTCTTGGTTTTGTTGTTAGTAAGAGAGGAATTGAGGTAGACGAGGAAAAGGTGAAGGCAATCCAAGAGTGGCCAACGCCTACAACAATCAGCCAAGTGAGGAGTTTCCACGGCTTAGCTAGCTTCTATAGACGCTTTGTGCATGATTTTAGTAGCTTAGCCGCCCCTCTTACTGAAGTCATCAAGAAAAATGTGTCGTTTAAGTGGGGGGAAAGAACAAGAAAAGGCATTTAATCTGATCAAAGAAAAGTTAACTAATGCACCTTTGCTTGTTTGACCTAACTTTGCTAAAACTTTTGAAATTGAGTGTGATGCTTCAAGAATAGGTATTGGAGTTGTTTTGATGCAAGAAGGACGTCCAATTGCTTATTTCAGTGAAAAGTTGAGTGGGGCAACCCTAAATTACCCTACTTATGATAAGGAGATGTATGCCTTAGTAAGGGCTTTGGAAAATTGGTAGCACTATCTATGGCCAAAGG